ATTATTACTAGTGGGAGAACATTTAATAAAACAAAAAAAACGACGAAAATTGTATGTTAAAGTATACTACTAAATTAATTTCATAACTTGATTTTAAAATATATAGTATATAATTGTCTAACTCATTGACAAAATTACTTCCAGTGCAAGAAAACTCGGGATTAATTCCGATCCTATACAAAAATTTCCAACAAGATACCAAACTAGACTTTGCGAATGGACTTTACAGAAAGCGACGAAGAATAAGTCTTCATATGATATTGTAAAAATAATTTCGACTTTCTATCGATACAAATCACGCATTCACTGCATCAACATAGCATCCACTTGACGCGAGGGGCTTTCGTACATAATAAATTAATCATTAATATTTGTAATTTTTTAATGTTAAAAATATAAATGTACTATAAATGTAAAACTATAAATGTAAAACTATAAATGTAAAAAACAAACAAGAAGTTAATATTTAACCTATATTACCTCAGTCAAAGCTCGAATCTTTACTGACTTATTTAATAAATTAAATAGACGAAAAATTGACGATTATTTTAAACATCAAATTTTTAAGTTAAATTAGTCACTTAAAATTATTAATGACTTTTTCATATTTACAATAAAATTCAAATTAAAAAAATTTTTTTAATTAAACATCTATCAAATTCGTTAAATTAATAAACAATTTTTGTTATCATATGATTCATCGATTTCGTGTAATTTACATCAATCGTGTAAGTTACATCAATAAAGCAACAATAAATTTGATTTACTACGCCAAGATAAATGCTATCTGTATGGAATAGATATATTTAATATGAATATATAAACATTCCAATAAATGTATAATTTAAATTAGTAATTATTGCGGAAATTATAAAAATAAACATGATGGCATTTACCTGGACATAATTCACATAAATTTTATATTACGTATGTAATATTATTATACATACATTTATTTATGATAAAATAAATTACAATATTAAAGCGTATACATACTTTGTATATGTATAGAATTTTATAACATATTAAGTTTAATTTCAGGGGAGCTGAAAATTCAATGAAA